CTCAAACCCTGTCCTCGCACTCAAATAGTGCCTGCTTGCGCTTAGATTTGCTCTGCTTCTGCTCAAACTGTACGCTTGCACTCAGATATATTGCTGCTTACAGATTTCCTGTGTTCCAGCTTCAAACCTTCTCCTCGCACTCAGGCTGTTTCTGTGCACTCGTGAAATGTCTGCTCTCAGATTTCTTCTGTGCGCGCTTGGATCTTTTGTGCAACAACCCTGTCAAGAACCCTCTGTGGGGATTCCCCACAGTATTGAGTATGTAAGTCGCTTTGGATAAAAGCGTCTAACAAGTAACTAATGTAATGCGCTATAAATGCGGTTGCCAGGTCCACATTGGGTATACGTACGCCGGCTGGTGTTAAAAATCACCCAATAACCCAGCAATGTTAATGATGATATCTTCTCTGTTATTTTCAGGCATTCAAAGGGAACAGAGGGGCACTGAGGGCATCCCATCAAGTCAGCCTCCACACAAAAAAAGTTAATCAGTTGCCAAGTGTTGGAGTTTCTTTGTCTCTCAGAGTGTTTTACAACAGCTCTGTTCATTTAAAAGTGTTTAAAAAATGTGTGTACATAGTTTTTGATCTAGTTACAAACTTAATTTTGCACTTCTGATAATTTAAATGTGGTACTGTATACTGCACTCCTATAGTTAGTGTTTTGTCCCTTTCTGTTTACAACATGTTTGTTCTTTGTTCATTTAAAATAGTTTAAAATGGTGTGTACATAGTTTTTGAGCTAGTGACAAACTTAATATTGCACTTTTGATAATTATATAATTTAAATTAGATTTGTACTGTATATACTTGACTGCACTTCCCATGTTTCGTCTATCTGCTTTGATCCTTATTTTTTCTGGGCAAGCTCAAAGGGAAGGTTGGTGTCGCACTTGAGTTTTCAAATTGGTTGTTCCTGGAGCTGGGACGCTGGCGTTGCTTGTCCTCCGCTCCCCCACCTAAATCCTATTTGTTCTATTGTTTCCAGTCCAGATTGGAAAACATTTTTTGCCTTGCTAAAACAACGGTTAAATGTTAATTAACATCCTTATCTTTTTATATTCATCGACATACCGAATCGCTACTTTTGTTGCCTGACGCTGCTGTCACGAACCAGCTGGCTTATCGGTTCCTAGCTCGCCAGCTAGCAGACCCTTAGCCATCCGGTGGCTACAACAACAACAGAACACTCTCGTCTCTACCTGAGCTCCACGGCTTGTCTCACCGGAGTCTCTCCATCCCGGTGTGGTCTGCTTACCTGCTCTCGTCCCCTCCTCGGGCTTCCCCTGCCGACGCTCTCCCTCCCAGGCGGTCATCGGCCAGTGGCTATCAGGCTAGCTATCAGGCTAGCTAGCAAGCTAGCGGGCTAGTCGCCCGACATCCACTCCTTCCCACCTCTCCTCTGCAAATCGCTGACATCGTCCTCCTGTGATGCTGTGGAGTATTCTGTGGCTTATACCCGGGCTCACACCACTTCTTCTGCCACAGCCATCCGACCCCTGGTCTCCGGCAACAGCTAGCTCTGTGCTAGCACCACACCCCCCGATCATGCCACCGCTCTTCTCCGCTTCAGACCTCCATTCTCTGAATAACCACCTCCCACCCGATTGCATGGACATCCTCAAGGAGACAGGTTTACTCCGCGGACGACGACCTCCACACAGAGGCTCAGGCCGAAAGTTTTTCTTCCACTCTACGTCTCCACACTCCATCCCGTCCATCTGGTCCTGCCGTACTTCCACATCACGCCACAACAACAACAAACACGTGAATCTGACCAATCTCCGACCACTTCCTCGGTCCAGCCACCCAATCACAGCGAAACGCCCTCTAAAAGCGGCCCTCCTCAACACCCGCTCCATGAACAATAAAAGCCACATTCTAAACGAATTCATAACGGACAATAACCTGGATTTTCTCTTTCTCACTGAGACCTGGCAAAAACCTCTGGACTATTTCTCATTAAACCTAGCCACTCCATCAGGATTCACCTATTTTGACAAACCCCGTCCACAAGGACGGGGTGGTGGTCTTGCTGCTATTTTTAGGAAGGATGTGAAAGCCACCACCATCTCCATCCCTGATATTCCTTCATTCGAGCACCTGGTATTTAAGCTCTCTGGTCCCCACTCCCCTGGTCACAGCCATCATTTACCGCCCCTCCAAAACAAAATCCCACCTTTCTTTCCGACCTCTCTGACCTTCTAACCCAGCTATCTGCAATATCTCCATCTGTGCTCCTCGTAGGGGATTTCAATATCCACATTGATGACCCAACCAGCATATATGCCATTGAATTTCTGGAAACTCTGCAGTGCTTCAACTTCACACAGCACATCAACTTCCCCACACACAGCCACAGACACATCCTTGACCTAGTCTGCTCCACAGGTCTCACCGCACCACCACCTATCCAGTCTCGACCCTCATATCTCCGACCACCTGGCCATCACCATGGACATCAATATCCCCATCCCCATCCAAAAACACAAGCGCACAATAACCTTCAGAAACCTAAAATCCCTGTCTCCCTCAGCACTCTCAGCTTGCATCACCCGCAAGATGTCCGCCTTCCCTCCCCCCCCCGCCTGACAATCCATGTCAACTAGTGGACTATTACAACACCACCCTCTCCTCCTGTCTTGATGAACTGGCTCCCCAAAAAACTAAAACTGTCTCTTTCACACATTCAGCTCCCTGGTACACCGCTGAACTCCGCCAAATGAAATCACAAAAACGCCAACTGGAACGCCTCCATAAGAAAACCACTAACAGTTAATCTCCATGCCTACACCGACCACCTACATCAGTACAATAATGTGCTCAAAGCAGCCCGGACCAACTACTACTCACAACTGATACACTCCGGCTCCAGCAACCCCAAGGCTCTGTTCTCCACCATCAGCACACTCCTTAAACCCTGCGACAACGCCACGCCATCCTTCACAACCGCACAGTGCAATTCTTTCCTCTCATTCTTTCAATCCAAAATCGACAGCATCTACAGAAACCTGACCTCCTCAACAGCCCTCCCCATCTCCCCCACTGGCTCCCCCCCCTGGCTCCCCCCCCTTCACCTCAAAGCCCCTATCCCGGTTCTCCCCTGTGACCCCAATGCAACTTTCCACCCTCATGGCCGGAATGAACTCCACCTGCACTCTGGATCCCATACCAACTACATTTGTCAGGGAATGCCTCCCTCCCATCTCCCAACTCATAACCACAATCATTAACTCCTCCCTCTGCTCTGGATCAGTCCCCCCCTCACTCAAACTGGCTGCTGTTACACCCATACTGAAAAAACCCGGACTCACACCTGACATCATGTCCAACTTCCGGCCCATTTCCAATCTCCCGTTCCTATCAAAGCTACTCGAACGTGTTGTAGCCTCCCAACTAAAATCCCACCTCAGCTCCAATAACCTGTTTGAACCCTTTCAATCAGGATTCCGGACAAAACATAGCACAGAGACAGCCCTCCTCAGAATCACTAACGACCTCCTCCTCTCCTCAGACTCCGGCAATCTCAACATCCTCATCCTCCTCGACCTCACAGCAGCGTTCGACACCATCGACCACACCATCCTGCTGTCCCGCCTGGAATCATCCCTCAACATCACTGACACTGCACTCTCCTGGTTGAAATCATACCTCACCAACAGACACCAGTTCATCCACATCAATAACTGCACTTCCTCCACTGCCCCTCTGAACCAAGGCATCCCCCAGGGTTCGGTGCTTGGTCCCCTCCTCTTCATCCTCTATATACTCCCCCTTGGAAAAATCATCCGTCGCCACAACCTCCAGTATCACTGCTACGCTGATGACATCCAACTCTACATCTCCACAAAAACCATCACTGCCACAACTCACTCCACACTCACCAACTGTCTCTCAGAAATTAAATCCTGGATGCAAACAAACTACCTTCAACTGAACAGCGACAAATCTGATATCATCATAATCGGACCCCCATCCCGCACCAACACCACTCAGAACTTCAACCTCACCCTTGACAACACCACTCTAACCCCCTCTCCTCACATTCGCAACCTTGGAGTAATCTTTGACAGCCAGCTCAAATTTGACAAACACACAAACCACATCACCAGGACTGCCTTCTTCCATCTGAAAAACATTGCCCGCCTCCGCCCCTCACTCACCTTCCCGGCTGCTGAAACCCTCATCCACGCATTTGTCACTTCAAGACTGGACTACTGCAACAGCATCCTGTATGGTTCATCATCCAAAATCCTAAATAAACTACAATACATCCAGAACTGCGCTGCCCGCCTCCTCACCCACACCCGCTCCAGAGACCACATCACCCCTGTCCTTCAAAACCTGCACTGGCTCCCTGTTCGTCAACGAATACACTTCAAAATCCTTCTGCTAACACACAAAGCTCTCAATAACCAGGCTCCCCCTACCTCTCCGACCTGATCCACCACTACACCCCTTTCCGCAGCCTTCGCTCATCAGAAGCGAACCTCCTCTCTATCCCCAAGAAAACCAAGCTCCGAACCTGGGGGGATAGAGCCTTCTCCATCGCTGCCCCCACCCTCTGGAACTCCCTCCCACAACACATCAGAGACTGCACTGACCCCCCCCCACTTTCAAAACACTGACCAAAACACACCTCTTCAGACTGGCTTTTAATCTGTGAATTATGCTGTATTGCTGTTTTAATAACTTTTAAATGTTATTTTATCTTGTTTTAATAACTTTTAAATTCTATTTTATCATGTTTTATCACCACTGTAAAGCGTCTTTGAGCACCTGGAAAAGCGCTTTGAAATGCAATGTATTATTATTATTATTATTATTATTATTATTATTATGGTGAGAAACCTAATTGCTGCGATGCACTTTTATAATTAAATAAATATTTTCATTTTAAATTCATGGTGTGTTGCATTCTTTGTTTATAACTGTAGATATTATGGAAAATCATGACATTTTTTGAGCGTGGGTCCCTTAGGACCACAACATTTCTGTTTTGAGTCTCATGCTGAAAAAGTTTGGGAACCCCTGCTGTAGAGCATCCACTGGAAGTGTGAATTGTTGAACTTTAGAAAACAGGTCCTGTCCATTAAATACTTGAAGAAGCTATTGTCCACCTCATGCAGGAAGTGTGGCAGCAAATTACCTGGCAACTGAGTTGGTCTTCGGTTTCTTCATTCCAGATCGCCATGATGTAAAATAAATTCTTGCGTCCAGGTGAGATGAAAATGAAAAATAATAGCCCTCTGTGTGTACCTTCTTCACTTCCGTTTTGCTTCTCATGCACTGATTCACTAAGCTGAACAGCCAATCAGAGTGATTTATTTTGCCGACAGCCTTTTGCCGACAGCTCCCCGATTCGACATGTTGAATCGGGGGCGGAAGGTGTCGGCACGGCCGAAAAGACACAACGGTGCGGTACACACCAATCTGAGTAGGGCAACACGACGCTCATCGACAGCCCCACATCTATCGACGGCCTGGTGTGTTGGGGCCTTTAAAGTGAAACCTCAGCAGTTAATGAGCAAACGTCTGATGTGTTTTGATGTTTTTTCCTTTCAGAGAATCAGGAGCCCTCGCCGCCGACTAGGGCCCAGATAAAATATGGTGAGATTAAATGTGACGCACGCACTCACAATCATCTATGTTTTGGAAATAAACCGCAACCTGAAACTCCTCCATGAGTATTTCTATGTCAGCAGTTCTGTTTTCCTTAAACACTTTGAGTAGTTGATCTCTTTTTTAAGTTTTAAGATATATAATATATCATTCTATCATATACCAGTTTGTACTGTAAAGTCTGAACTTCGGTGATAACCTCGGTTCAATAACTGACCTCAACATCAGACTTAAAAAAAGCTATTTTCAAACAATATTTATCCACAGGGGGAAACTATTGAGACCACCAGGGGTCATGTGGAGTAGGTCATTATTAAAAAGGGTGAAATCCTCGTGCCCTAGAGATTACTAAACAAAGAGAACAGAAACAAAAAGAGTTGGATTTGTTGTGTAAACTGATGAAATCTTATCCATTATTGGATATTCATATGGCTTTCAAAATAATAGTATTGATTTATAAGTATTATTTTTGTAGTGTTTATGTAATAAACATGCTATATCAGGAACCATAAATATAAACATAGACTAATAAGTGATAGAATAAAGAAAATGCTATATTATCCTGTATGCTCTATTAAAAACCATAGGGCCACAGCATTGTACAAACTCTTTTCCACAATGGAAGCATGCAGACATTCGTCATATCATCAGCCTCAGCTGTACTTTGTTAAGTGCTTGTTATCTGATAAAGTTAAAGCTAATATGCTTAGATGGTGAACATGATATGAACCTGCTAGACATCTCAATGTGAGCATGTTTGCACGCTGACAATAAGTCCAAGCTCACAGAGCAGCTGGCTTTGATTCTCCAAACTCTACTACTTCCTCTCATTAAGTATGCAATACTGTTCAGGCCGGTCTGTTCTGTTTATTCATATACTTTGCATGTATTGACCACATACAATTCAACACTTCAATAATCTAAAAGGCTTTACGACTTTCACCTCTTCAAAACTTACTTAAAAGTTATCAAAACTGTCATCCTCTTCCTGATTTTAAAAATAGTTAAACACAATTTCCTTCAAATATGTTTGAAGTGAACTCATGTGTTAGTGTTAGAAACGGCACATTAAGCTGAAGGATGAACATGATTTCTGCAGTTCCCTGATAACAACGTTCTGTGTTAATCCTTCTTCCTGTTTCTCTGCAGTTTTGTTCCACAACTGTATCCCCTTTATTGGATTTGGCTTCCTTGATAATGCCATCATGATCGCAGCAGTAAGTGCCTTTTTTAATTACACAATGATGAAGCTTATTTTTGACTGTAATGAATTGCCTTCATGATTGACAAATGCAAGTCTCCGTCAATGATGTATCTTCTTCTGTCTACCTGTATTCTTTCTAAAACTCTGACTCTGATGAGACCCCCCCTCACTCTCTCCTCTCCTCCAGGGAACACAGATTGAACTCTCTATCGGAGTCACTCTCGGAATCTCCACCATGGCTGGTAAGAACATGTAGAGAATCTGTAGTCGGGTCACCGTGAAATTTAAAATTGAGTTTATTATCTTGTCCCAAATTCCATTTATACATATGTTGGTCAAAAATATTTAATCGATAATAATTGAAGTCATTTCTAAATAAAAAAGCCAAGCATTCTTTAGTTCCATCTTCTCAAATATATTTGTTTTCTCTTCAAAACATTGAAAAGTGACCTTTTATAAAAACATGTTGTTCACCATAAACCCCTGCTATTGCTTTCATTCAGTATGGAGGTAGATTTGCCTCAGATTTGTGACCAGTTCACACAAATAATACTGTCTTTAAATGTGTCATCGGTGATTACTTTCCACATATGCAAAAAATGATTTGTAAACAAAAAATATTTGGCTTATGAATTGTATTAATATAGTTTGCCTTAGGGCAGTGTTTCTCAAACTTTTTCATACCAAGGACCACTTAACCAAAAAAAAAAACACTCGCGGACCACCTAACTCCACAAATATCCAAAAACACATAGTTTTTTTACAAATCGCCTGAAAATGGTACAAACAAGTGGCAACATGTGTGATGAAGGTGTTTATCTGGGCTATATCATGCAATCGAAAGTGAAACTTAAGCTCATTCCATTGCGGAGATATTCCCGCAAGAGAGCGAAACATTTTAATTTATTTATTTCAAATATGAAATTTTACCAATATACTCAAGGACCACTAGGGGGCGCTCACGGACCACCAGTGGTCCGCGGACCACACTTTGAGAAGCACTGCCTTAGGGTACAGCAAACTCATCCTTAAGGCTACCCGTCATGTATTGGTTTAGGTGGGTAAAGTTACAAAGCATCAGTTGTAATTTATGAACTATTCAGATCTGTGTCAAACTAAGCCCGATTCAGTTAAGTTGTGATAGGTGAATTACACATTTAGACACAGAATGTCTATCTATCACACAAGATGCACTGTGGCTCCATAATTCGGGCTGTAAGTCACAGTATATTCTAGAAGCGATGCCTCCTCTTCCATCAGCCATCACTAAAGCCATGTTTCTACTTCTAAAGCCTGGCTGATGCCACCAGTTGTATAAAGTTGCACTGAAGAATCTTCTTGAAACTCCTCAGCTCTCCTGGGCACCGCAGCAGTTTCTTGCACACCGCCTGCTGCCATCATGGCTGCTGTTCTGGGTCTCAGGTCAGGTCTTTATTAGGCTGTGAAAACCATAAAGGCACTGGTGCTCGTCTTCTCCCTTTTGCTCAACACTAGATTATTCTGTTTCCATGGATACTTGGCTCCAATTTCCTCTGCAAAGTGAAAATGGGGAAAAAAGGCTCTAGATCAATAGCCCGTCTTTATCCATCCCGGCGCTGCTTCATATTTGTGTCATCATCATCCAGCCTGCAGTGATGCTCAACGACTGATTTGAGAGCAGACCTTTTCTAGCTTTTAACTCTGACTCCTGTGTCATCATCAGCACTTTACTGCCATATGCAATCAGTCAGAGGTGCTGGTGAAATGAGGTTGTGAGATTGTATCGCTCTTTCACTTTTCCATCTCACTTCTTGAGGGAACTTGGACTGAAAACTTCCATCTGGAGCTTTAGTTCCTGCTGGAAACTCTGCTAGCATCCAGCGCTAAGCACCGTTGCTTTTGGTGCCTCCAGAGATCCACTCAAAACAAACACATACGTAACACCTTAAAGGGGACCTATCATGCAAAATGCACTTTTGTACGTCTTTTACAGTATACATGAATATGTGTCCCCGGTGTGTCAGGGAACTCACCAAGTGTCAAAAAACACAACCCTCTCTCTTTTCCTCCATACCCAAATCTCTAAAAACGGGGCTGCAACGGAGCTGATTATTATTTGAATTTTTCTGATGTCAGAAAAGGGGTGCTCCGCCTATATGGGCAACTCTCCACCTATCAGGGGAATGAGAGACCGCTCGAAAGCGCTGGAGACGCTGTAGTACATATGCCAGGCCTGTAAGTGGCGCTGTAGTCTGCCACAAAAGCAGAATCAGCCTTTGCAAAAACAGGGCTGGAAAAGAGCAAATAGAGCGAAATGAGGCATGGCTAAAATACATGATCTGTTTGGTATTTTGAAAAAAAAACTTCACAGACATGTTTTATAAAGGTATGGCCCTACAATATATTTTCAAATATAGCATGATAGGTCCACTTTAAATTGAACTAACCGTGAACAAATGTCATTTCTACCGCATTGTCAGCCATCCACTGTGAAAATCCAAGCCGCAGCGTGAATTATTCACAAGCGTTGTCGATGTTATACATCTGAAGCTCGTTCTGCTGACAGTCTTAACGTGAAGGCAGATGGAAAAGGAGCTGACTGGTGTATTGGAGGGTTTCCAAAGGTGCTCTTTTATCTGTGAACATGTAAACACCTTCTCTCACTCCTACTGCTCTCCTCTTGCATTGTGCTGCCACAGTCTATTGTTTGAACTTCTCTCTCTCTGCTTTTCATCTTCTTGCATATACGCATTTATGTGGGCCCTTTGGCACAGCACATTTTTAGGTACAAGCACTTCTTCGTGTGGGTGAGTTTCTTAAATGTTGCTGAAACGTGGGCATTGCATGGACAACACAGGCTCTAGAGGTGGATAATAGCCTAAATATCAGCCACTTATTTGTAGATTAAACTTAAATTACTCCTTGAATCTTTTTTCAGGCACCTACACAATGGCAACAGACTAATGCAGCGTTTCTCAAAGTGTGGGGCGCGCCCCACTGGTGGGGCGCAGAGATGTGATAGGTGGGTCGCGAATGGACGCGATGAACGGGAGATTGTTATTATTTTTTAAATAAATGTTTTGGACCTCAGGCCGGAATCGAACCTTGGTCCTCGCGGGCGGTAGTGTTCTGTTACAGCCGGAGACTCGCAACGGGTGTTTGCGGTGGCGGATGCGGTACCGGAGCTGTGAAAGTCCACCTATGCCAGAGCCAGCGGCCCACCGAAGGCAGCAGCCACAAACATACACACACACACACACACACACACACACACACACACACACACACACACACACACACACACACACACACACACACACACACACACACACACACACACACACACACACACACACACACACACACACACACACACACACCACACACACGTTGCAGTCGGGAAGAAAAGCAATGTGGAGCGGCACCTCACCACTTCATAATAAAGGAGTTTAACCGTGACACTTTTCGAAATCCCGTTTGTGTCCCCCCACTTTACAAATATGTTTATTATTATTTTTTAACTCAAGCCGTCATCGCCACGGAGGACCACACAGCTTCTGTGAGCGAGCGAGCGAGACAGAGAGAGAAAGCGAGAGAGCACACCTTTATCTATTTAATATATTGTAAAGAATAAAGTAAGAAATCATTCCAATAGGCAGGGTTGGGTTGTAATGGAATACATGTAACGGCGTTACGTAATCAGAATACAAAGATCAAGTAGGCTAACTGTATTCAGCTCGCATTACATTTGAAAAACGAGTAATCTGATTACAGTAAACCTGAAGTGAATACATTTTGGAATACTTATTGGAATTATTGGTGGAAAAGTTTCCTCACAAAATGTAATATTCATTACCGGCAGAACTGTGTGCACTGCACGGCGCTGCAGCATGTCTGTGAGCGAGAGAGAGATGCAGCGTGTCTGTGAGGCCCCGCCCCCGCACGCAGATGAGAGAGAGAGATCTCTTTCAAAATATATTGAAAGTTAGAAACGGAGATGGTTAGATAAAATGTGCAAGATAACGTTTATGTAGCATTTCTTTATTGTCGAAATGATGACATTTCATAACGGGATACAATCAAAGTGAATGGCCTGCTGCTGCTGAATGCATGGGGCAAGTGACTGGAACAAGTTTTAAAAGTTATAACATCGTTTCAGATAATAAATAATAATGATAATTCATTCTATTTAGGGGCGCCTTTCAAAGCATATTCTAAGGAAAGGTTTTAAGACAGTACAAAGAATGCAGTCCGGGTGATGTTTTTTATGTGTGGTGCAGATGAGAGGGAGCTGTCCAGAATGACACCAAGATGTTGTGTTTGAGTTCTTGATAAGCCATGAAAACAGTAAAATACGTGTCTCCTGTTCACCAAAACATACCCATCTGTTATGGAAAAAGACAAAGTATTCTAAAAGTAATCTGAATATGTTCGGATTACTTTCAGAGCCATGTATTCAGTATTCAGTAACTGATTACATTTACAAAGTAACCCTCCCAACCCTGAGTATAGGACAGTGAAAAAAGAAAAAACAGTTTAAAAGGGGAGTGATTAGTCAAATATGCATAAATAAAAAGAGAGAATGCTAACTAGGTAACATAAGATAAGAATAAACAAGTTCAAAGGATTTGTTATTGGTTGTGATAATATTCTAAAGATGTTTGGATTATTGAAAAGTATACAGCTCCCTTTCGTCTGAGTGTTGAGAGCTGTATCCATGAATTCATCTGGTGCTCAAAGAGATTGATGTATTTCACTTCAACATTTAAAATAAAGCAGGTTCAAATAATTAAATTGCATACATGTTCTTTTAGTAAACACTGAAAACGGGTCCCACAGACCCAAACAGCACACAAAGGTTAAAGGTAAGCATATAATAATGTTAAAATGTGCTAAATATACACTGCAAAAAACAAAAAAAGAGAGGAGTAAAAGTAGCTCACGATAGGTGGGGCTTGAAAAAGCCCACCTGTTCAAAGTGGGGAATGGCAGAAAAAAGTTTGAGAACCACTGGACTAATGCAAGTAGGCCAGACATCTTTTTCTCTTTAGACGTCCCCTCTTCCTGGGGGACCCTGATGCTTTTCTAGGCCTGGTGGGATATTTCCCAGCTCCCCTCCCGGTTTGACTTTCTTTGGAAACCATCTCAAGATAGTTATCCAGGATGCATCCTGATCAGATGTCTGAACCATCATAACTGGCTCCTTTCATTGTTACCGAGTAGTAGGTGTAACCCGAGCTAGCATAGCAAGGGCTCCCTTGACAACAAAAACTCTATAGTATTTTTTCATTAGATTTCTAAGTATCATATAAAATAAGATCTGTGGCAAACGAACGTTTATGATACTTGCATGTTTTGTTGGCATCACCACTTTTAGGATTTTTGAAGTGTAAATGCAATCGGCAGTAATAAAAAGCTAAGTGAAGACATTTTTCTTATTTCAGGCATCCAACCAAAACACGTTCAAAAAATCTAGACCCTCATGAGGGAGCCCAGAAGGACTCATTCCTGCACCACTCTATTAGGATGTTCTTAAAAATATTTCCTAAAGCACCATTATACTAGTTTCTGTATTTTTGCGATTTAGCGCCCCAACAGTTTCAGAGTGGTTGAATTGATGCACCACTTTAGAATATGTGGACAGATCTAACATTACACCTGCATTTTTTTATGAATCCATTAGAATAGCTGAGTGGTTATCTTTGCTAACACAGCCAAACATCAAGCAATTGCCACAACACAAGACAAAGCCAGCCAATATTACAAAGCCAATACCCAAAAATCAGTCAATTCAGTATTTATCATGTGATTGTTATGTGCATTATTTATCTGTCACTATGTGTGTGTTCATCAGAGAACAGCAGACATCAGAGTGTTCCCTCTTTGTGTTTGTGCAGCTGCTGCATGGGGGAACCTGATTTCAGATCTGGCCGGTCTCGGGTGAGCAGCATTATGAACGCTCTGATGTGTGATTTGTTAAGGTAGATGTGTGAAGTCTTTTGAAGAAAGGTGCTTCAAGGTACAGTCTGTGTTTGCTGCATTTTCATTAAAAGAATGAACTGAGGTTTCTTTGTGCTCTTGTTCAATCAGGTGGGATTTGAGTTGTTACTACTTATAGTTTTTCATTTTCATCTCATCTGCTGCTCTATCTTTACACATATTAATGCTTGAGTTTATTTTATTTGTATACTTTGTTGTTTTGTCTCCAGGAGAACAACTTTGTTTTCCACCTTAAACCGGAGGACTTTTTTTAGCTACATTTTAACGGTAGCTTTAGTTTCTGCAATCGGTTTCAAATGAGGGAAATGATTGGAATGTTGGGATGGTTCATGATTTTTGTCAATAACTCTACACAAATATACTAACCCAAATATGTGTGCATGCAGTCTTGCAGGTTATGTGGAGGTTCTGGCGACCAAATTTGGGATGCAGGGTCCAGAACTGACGCCCAAACAGGCGGACATGTGGCAGACCAGGGTCAGCTCACACATGGTGAGAAACGGATTCATTTATAGCAGCTAAATAACATCTAACACATGTATTTTAACTGAATTAAAAATGTGTATACAAATATTTGTCTGAATATATTTTTTACGTGGAAAGACAAATCTAAATTTGAGAAGGTCAGACAATTGCAATATGTGCATCTCTAATTTGATGACTTCAACACAAAGCCAACAATTAGGAGATGACTACAAGGAACAAGTAAGTCGTGTTAAATGGGATAACACGGAACAAAGGTCCCGTGCTGGAGTCGAAGGGCTGATGTTGCAGTTTAACCTCAAAGGCAGTGTGCTCCGATTTGTTTCTTCTGTGAGGCACATCAGAGGAAATGTTTTAAAAGGAGCATCCACAGGTACGAAAAGAGAGAATTTGAAAAGCGGAGTAAGATCAAAGCTATCAAAAACTCATGTGGAGATAACTTCAAAGTTAGCAGCCCTGCAAATGACTCTATTCTGCACACTGAAACATGTCGCTGGAGCTGATGCTGTGCTTCTCCTCTGTCGCATAGCTATCTAAGATGCTAACAGGCTGCTCTGACATGTAATACATCAATTTGATTCTAGGTCTGTGGGTGAAGGTTATTTTGACTCAATATGATGATATCATTTCCTCCTCCTGCAGGGTAAAGCCATCGGAGTGTCCATCGGCTGTATCTTGGGGATGTTCCCGCTGTTCTTCCTGGATGATGATGAGGACAAAGAGAAAGCACATCCCCGCATAGACACAGTGTCACCGTCTTCATAACCAGCCACTACACTGCACACTTACAGACTGGATACTGCTGATGTCAACTTTAAAAAAAAGAACAAGTATTTACAGCTGGATGTTTCTCTGTCTTCCTGCTCAGGCGGCGTACACACCTCTTCAGTCTGTAAACCATTGCAAGCTGTTTGTGTTAGCTGATGAGATTCAGTTCACAAGCCCTTGTAGCTTCTTCCTAACACCATGCTGTGTTCACTGTCTGCTCAATCAACTCATGCCATCTGTTAGCTCAACATGTCAATACAATGGGTATTCTCTCATTTCAATTCACACATTTGACATGTTGAGGGACAGACGCTCCAGGGACCCATCATCCATTCTTCTTTTTCACCGTGAGAAAAGAAGCTTTTATTTAAAAGGAACAACCTTTTATTTATTTGTGAGGGTCCACATAATGTTAGTAGACACTTTCAATAATAATATTGAATGAGCCTGTCTCAAGCACTTTTAAAATCTTACATTTTCTTAAACAAATATATTATGTAGTCACAATCACATCTGATTCAGGTCTGTTTGATCTGCACAGCATAGCACTCTGTCCTCAGACCCCTCAGTAAATAAGGAAAGCCCACCCCAGTACTAACAGATGAATCACTTTTAGTGGACGCTGCGAAACCGCTTAAACTACATTCAGCCTGTTCTTGTTCTTATCCAATCATTACGAAGTCAATCATTTTCCCCATTAGTTACTTAAACACAAAGACATGGTGGAAATGAATCTGATGAGTCTCAGCGTGGATTCATGCTCTCTCGTCAGCAAATACTTTAATTACACGTGTGCCAACAAACTCAATTAAGTACAGTTTCCTCGTCAATAACAGGGCCACCAGCTAACTTTTTAGTACCGCAACAATCTCATGTAAACTTAGATTCTTGCATGCAGTGTAGTACTGTGTGTACACATTCTAATTGGTGAAAACGCCACCACTTACCGGATCAGTGCTCTACATTGGCAGATTCCTCAGTATATGAATCCATATCAAGGGGGAGGAGTTACCGATGCAGAACGCTTCAGCCTTCTTAGTCCCAGCCTGAGATCCACTAACTGGAACCTTTGTCCCCTGTTGTTAAGAGCAATCGATAGTGTAGATTAGAAGCTCATTTATTGTTAGAAATGAAAAGATTTGGTTGTCATTGGAAACCAATGTGTATTAAGTCCCAGTTTTTGACACAGATCAAATAGCTTTTGTGAACGCTGCCTGCGCGGCTCTCAGGATGGGAAGTGCTCACAACACCTGCACACTACAGCTGGTTCAAATATCAGCTTCAGCAGGTTCATAATAATATTCTTTATTAGACCCCCTCCTCTTGTCCACAGAGGGGTGTGAGTTGCCATCACACAGAAACATCCAGGTGTGAGGGGTCCCATCCTGACGGTAGAAACATGCAGCATGTTCAGGAACACTACTTCATGTTCAACAGACAACCTGAGGCTTGTGTCCTTTTTATTTTTGAACTAACTTGTAAAGCAGTACATGGAATATGATGGGACACTTTATACACAAACCATTTGGGTCAAAAAAGGAAAGCGTTTCTCAGCGTTCAGTGCCCACTGCTACCCTCGATGGGAATATGTGTCTGTGTTTTGCATGAAGAACTGATGTAGCTCTATAATCAAATGTTTCCTGGTCAGATGGTTTTTAATATGCTGGAATATCTTCAAATGTCTTGTACCGGTTGAAGGAGGATCATTGGCGAGGCTCTGAAACTGAAGTTGCTCATTTCAGTTTTGGGCTTTACCTCTTTGTTTTCCAAGGTCTTCTTTGTATCTCTGCTTGTCTTTCCGCTCCATCTTTTCTCTTATTTCTCTTAAGGACGCTTGATTTGGATCCAGCCATCTGTGTAACGCTTCTCTTCTTAGGTTTTCTGCTCCATCAGACTCGTAGCTGCAGATGGTTGGATTTGCCACAAACAATAAGAGCGTGCAGTCTCAAACTGTCTAGCATATACCACGAGTCACTTCAGTAGGTTTTATTGGTTTCTACAGCTCAGACCTTGTCTTTCTAAAATGTGTAATCCCTCTCTCTTTGCTTCTCTCTCACTCCAGCTTTCTGCTCATATTCAAGGTGCTTTTTGTAAATACAGTGAATCCAATTGATCCTTTTGCTGGCTGCATCTGAAACCAATCCCTATTCACTCCTTATTTCAATTTCCATTTTGTAATGGTGCAACAGAATATTATTTTCACTTTTGATTTTTATGGATCAACAATTATTCATTATTTGAATCAGAAAAGAAGAAAAATAAATGTTGGGGATCCTAGACAAAAGTAATTGCCTAAAATACAAGAATCTTACATTCTAAATACTCACATTTTAGAATGGCACTACTTAGGATTCTTTATGTAATATGTATGCACTATAATTTGCTCTAAAAATATCCCACAATGCATCAAAACAAAGTAGAGTCCACGGCAATTATTTTTTGATTATCCTAAATAGCAAAGCCTAACATTTGATAGATGCTTAAATAACATTTCTACCACACTACTGCTGATGCATGATGTTTTATTGTCCCATAAATGAATGTTGAAATGGAATCTCAAGCATAGCTTTCCCCCAGTATTCCTGATTACTACATATTCAAAAGGAGAGAAATACTGCTTATTAGTTTACATAAACATATCAACTATAGTTATATTGTTGCACACAATTGTATAATCATTTAAGAGCAGTAACATTCTGGTGTTGCTAATGGGAAAATATGTATTTATTTGTTGCCTTATTTCCTCTTTGCGTCTCTGCAGTTGCAACAGTAACATGAAGGGTTAACCCATCACTTTGTTTCTATGAACCCTCAACTGGCTTTGACCCTAGCAGAGTGCACCGGTCAGGAGGAAGGACAGCAGGAGTTATGTTAATGCCTTGAAAGGTTTGAGAAATGCCTAAACGCTAAAATGTTGTGATATTGATTGTGATGCAGGGAGGAGACGTGTTCATCTTCAGAGGGATGAGGACACAAATCCTCCAATGAAAAAGGAATGAAGTGCAGGAGATGATAAGGAATGTTGGGAAATAATGGAACCTCTGAGTTCAGACTGACTGGAGACAGAAATGTTTCAAAAATATTGTAATGAGTGTTTGGATTCCATATTTAACTTTGTCTTTGGTTTTACTGTAAAAGCCGCGAGGGAGTTTGAAGAGATTTATCGAGCAGAACAAGAAGCAATATCTGTTTGAATCATGTGCTAAATAAGGAGTAACTCATTAATAATCAATGTTCTCAGACACGTGAACTTGAATGTTTTTGTATCATCTCATGTTTATATCACGTCGTGTAATGTTTTCTAACAGGATGTTCAGGCCTGTGGTGAACACATTTGATTGTTTTGTATTCCTCTAGAGATTTTGAAGCATATAAACAAAGTATAACCTCTTAATGAATGCTGTGTTGTGCTGCCATCTGTGGACCAGCAGCTGTGCACCGATACGTGTATGTACTCTAGCCAGTCATGTGGAAGGACTGATTATACAGTATGCATTGTGGAACATAATGTGCAATTTAAACTCACGTAATAAATTTAGGAGTGTTACCTCTGACTCTGCAGGTTGTGCTGAAGCTCTGTTTGTCTTCTCATTTGTCGCTGAAGTGCCCTCCAGCAAGGCATCGGAACTCACTAAGGAAGGCTGAGGGCAGCAGATCTTAGGTCAGATTGTGTACGACTGTCACAGAATACACATGCACAGTAATGCATCTTAAAGTGGACCTATCATGCTATTTTTAGGCAATAGCATAGGTCTCATATATAAAAAACATGTCTGTGAAGTGTTTTGCCCAAAATACCAAACAGATCACCCATTCTAGCCATGCCTCATATACCTCTATTTCACTTCCTGTTTCAAAATTGCTGATTTGGGTATAAAGCTTAAACAAAATAACAATTAAAAGAAGACGGGGCTGAGCTCATGCGGGACCCGGCAGCTACTGTCTAAACTAAATACTGCGGTGATGAAACGCCATATCATGGATTATCAAGGATTCTCTCTGAAACAGTCTGGAGCTCAAAGGCTTTCTCTCTTGCCGGTTATACCACAAGAGGCGCATTCACACCGCAGTACTTTTCCCATAAAGGTTCATGAGAACTTAGTTCATGAGAACTCTTTAGTTCTCATGAACTAAGTACAGATCGCGTTCACACCGGAAGTCCCTGGGGGAGGATTAGGCAAATGAAACCGCTGACGTCACTTCTTCTTCTTCTGCTTTGGGTTTACTGGCAGGCCGCAAACAACTTCACGGCGTATACTGCCGCCCAAAGTCCCCGGAGTTGGGGACTGGCTTCAGTAGAAGCTGCTGGGACTCCCAGCAGCTTCTACTGAAGCCTTCCGAGTAAATCGCCAGAACGCCGACACCTCATCTCCACCGCTCCCATGTTTTATTTTGTGTTGCCATAAATTAGTCCAGGGTTGGGCACCTGGCTGGAGTGAGATTTTGATATCATGGGTTTAATTACACATATGCGCACTAAATGACTGCTATCGTGTCAGCAGCGGGACCTTAGCATATATATAGGATATATATATACAAATACACAACATTGGACACAGACTATAAAGGGCACAAAGTTTCATTCACTAATGAAAGTCAAACACACTGTTTTATTGTGTGCCTGTCGCGATAAGCAATTAATTGACTTATCGTATAATAAATAAAACTGAACTTGATACATTTCCATTTACATGAGGATGTGACCATAGCTTGAAAGGATGTACTTGAATTATTATTATATATTATCATTATGTCAGTGGTCTAAAATGGTCATACAACGGTGCCGACAATATTATCATTTATCACAATAATTTCCGGGAAAATGTATCCAACAAAATTAATTATTGTGAGAGGCCTATACATGAAACACACACACACACAAACAAATCTACAGACTTACTCCAAACTGCCAAACATATTAATTAACACACTCTCACTCTCATATACTCTTTGACTCTATTTTGGCCTAGTAGTAAAAGCAGCAGACTTTTACTTGTTATCATTTCTACTGGATCTTAGATCTGCGCATGCGCAACACACCTGATTGACCAACCGGCTCCCACTGCTCTGCTGTCTGTTAACGTTGTTAAGAGTGGTGGGGGCGGGGAGGGAGCGGATCGACAGCTTGAGCAGCTGTCAACTCAACATTGTAAATAACCAACCAAAAACGATCGCCGTTCATCTTGTTTTTGGCGTGAGAATAGTTTGGGCAGCGTGAGATTGAGAGTGAAAGCGTGTGTCACACGCCAGATGCGTGAGAGTTGGCAACCCTGACGGCCCGTCTACACTACAGGCGTCGAAAAAGCTTGAAGCTGGGCGTGTCTGAGGCTTGGCGATTTTTTGCCAGCAATGCCACCAACAACCAATCGCATGAATCTCCCGCCCCCGACATACAAAGCAATAGCAATGTTAAAACGAAGTAAACTGGATATAAAATCCCCAAACAGGCGAAAACCTACCAGTTTCACCCACTGTCTCTGCCACCTCCCTCCATGCCTCGCTCCTCCGGTTTGTATCCCGGTAGATGAACAGAGACTGATCATACAGCACCGGGTGATTCACTACCGCTATAATGAATTTTCCCTCCATTTTTTTGAATATGAGGAAATGACCTGTAGTCTCTCCCAGCATACACGCGGTTTGATTGGCTAGCGCTTGTACTGGCAGATTTGCATAAACGGGATTTCATTGGCTGACGCCAGCTTCGAGCCTCAAAAGTTGAACATTGTTCAACTTTTGACGCCGATAGACGCTCGCGATGCTTGCAACGCCTTGCCATGCTACCCACAATGCAGTTCGGCGAAGTTTGAAAATATCCTACATCACCCCATTCAAATGAATGGGCGAAGCGTTGAAAGCATTTTTTGACGCCTGTAATGTAGACGGGCCGTGAGTTAGTCTCTCTGCGTTTCTGCGCTGGGCTAATGCTAATGCGAGGATAATAAAATGGCGGCTTCACAAAACTTTTTGGGAGTTTTACGGGGCGTGGTTTGCAATCCGCCCAGCCAATCAGACATAGGAACCTTTTTCTCCCACGAAAGTCCCTGCTCTCTAGCAGGGACGGGAAAGGTGTAACGGCCTGTACACACAGCAGCTTTTGGCGATTTGTCCACCGCTTCCAGCGCGTCTCCGCCCATTGACTTTGAATGGGGATGACGTCACTTTCCCTCGCTTGTCGCCGAACTGCATTGTGGGGGGGCGAGGCGAAGATTTCCAGGATTTCCAGGATTTTCAGGATTTCAAAGTTGAGCAATGTTCAACTTTTGAAGCTGAGCTGGAAGCGTCAGCCAATCAAATCCCGTTTATGCAAATCTGACAGTTCAAGCGCTAGCCAATCAAACCGCGTGCAAGCTGGGAGAGCCAGACCGCAGTTCATTCTATATTCCTAACAAAAATGGAGGAGAAGTTAGTTATTGCGGTAGCAAATCACCCGGTTCTTTATGACCAGTCCCTATTTACTTACCGGGATACAAACCGGAGGAACCAGGCATGGAGGGAGGTGGCAGAGACAGTGGGTGAAACTAGTAGGTTTTCGCTTGTTTGGGGATTTTATATCCAGTTTACTTCGTTGCTAGCAAGCATATACAGTATCATTAGCCAGCATGGAATGTAGCATAAAATAGCACCATAGACATTAATCTCATAAATGTTCAAAATGTTAAAAGAAATAGTGGAGAAGAACCGGGGTTTTTTGCTTTGTATGTCGGGGGCGGGAGATTCATGTGATTGGTTGTTGGTCGCGAAATCCCCAAGCTTTCAGACACGCCCAGCTCCAAGATTTTCAAGATTTTTGAAAAGCTGCTGTGTGGACGTACCGTTAGAGTCTAAGCACCGCCGATTTTATTTGACTATAGCTAGAGCCAGAGCCATATAATAGAAGAGTTACGACAACGGAAGTCCAAAAACGGTTATCGTCACGTGGTTCATGTAGAAGAGGATCGTTCCCCAGAAGTTCATGGCGGGCAATGTGAATGCATTGATAACAGGAAATAGAACTACGATTGTTGGTAATTATTAGTGAATAAAGGTGTTGATTTGCAATATTTATACAACAAATCGATGTGTATGTATTTACATCAATATGTTTTAAAAAATAAAATAGAATTTGCTAATATTAAGTGATAATATTAGGATTAGTGTGAACAACTAGTTTACATGGTAGGCTAACAGTGCCTTGTTAAAGAGCCTGTTGCTGTTTATTTATAGCTTTGAATTCTTTAAAACCAATATTATCTTCTTAAACTTGTATGGTAGTCAGGAGCATCACTTTCTAATGTTTATTGATATATTTAGAGGGAGGGGATCTAAAGTAATGCTTTACAATTCAGATTAGATTAATTTCTACCATTTTCTTAAAGTCATGGTAGTTTCATGGTAATTTAGGACACAAGTTATCTAAATGACTAATGTCATCTTTATGGCTTTCAGAAAGGACAGGAGACCGACAGGTGACTATCAAAGGACTAGCAGCAGCAGCAGCATGATGATGATGTTAAATGTGTTGTTTTAGGAAAATCCATTGCAAATACATGGAATTCAATAAACATTGAATAGCATATCATGCAGTTTGTCTGTGCCTTTTCCTCCGTGTTGTCCTGGTTTGCTGTGCTGCCTCCTAGTCGCCACCATGGTTTGCTGTGCTGCCTGGGGATGCTCCAATCGCTCAGAGAAAGGAGTACGAATGTACAGCTTCCCCACTGACACAGAGCGGAGGAAGCAGGAGCAATTTCACAACCAACAGCAAAAAAATATGTGATTTATATACAAACACTGCATTTGCACTTTTTCACAAAACGAAAACCACACCATTGGGAAAGCTTAATGTTTTGTTTAATACAAAAAACAGGGAAAGGCTTGAAAAACACTGAGAGTTGAGACTCAGGGTGCAGGGTGAGGGTCTCAGTGCAGGTATTCAGGCTCCATTGAATCCCCCTCTGGTTCTTGTGCTGAAAGAGGGATAAACAGACAGGAGAAAGGGTTATACACACCTATATAGCACACCTATTGGATGGGAAATTGCCTTGGGGAGATAAGGTGTGGTCTTTGTTCCCAACTGAAGTTATGGAACTTTATTATGTGTGAGTTTAACAAAGTATGACAAATGGCATCAGTAACAGATGTGATATGAATTTCTATAAAGTTGTCTCACATTCTTGGTCATATTGTATATACAGTATGTAATGAGTATAACATGTCCAGTAAGTATAAAGTGTTTCCTAAAATATGTGTATTCAACCACTATGGAATATGTTTGTGGGCAGACAAAACTGAGTTGTTCTGTGTGTGAAGTAACCTCAAGTCACTCCGCAGGCACATTTTGATGCAGACCAGTTTGTCAAGACAAAAAAGGGCAAGACTAGGCTGAGAGCAGAGGCTATACCCACCATCTTCGTGCATCGCCCTGTGGTCAAAAAGAGAAGGGCCCCTGCACCACGATTCACCCCGGGACCTGTATCTACAAAGCCCATAGCTCATGATCACAGCGATAGTGTGAAAGGTGACACAGGTATAATAAGTATGAACTCTTAGTAACAAAAGTAATATTTCTTATTTTTAAGT